GGGCTCAAATGTGGGAGCTCCACCTGGAAAAGGCGAAGTATCTCCAGCAACAACGAGTTGCATGGAAACCAGAGCCCCGCCTCAAAAAATATGGCGAACACCACCGTCCGGTTGTCGACGGACTTCGGAACAATGGCTTTACTCGGGGCGAAAGCCTGTCCCTCGACCAGCGCCCCAGAGCTGACCAACTTTGCCAACTCGCAGTCGTCTATGAGAGAAATCCCCAAATAGGCGGTGGTGTCGTCGTCAATCCGGCCGGGGTCAGGCTCCTTCACCGAAGAGGGGTTGGGCTTGCGGGGAGCCATGGCGAAGGGTGTCTGCAGTGGCGAACAGAGAGAGCGAGCGAAAGGTCTGAAGGGCCAAGGGGCGCCGTGAAAGGAAGAACAGAGGAAGGAAATGCGCGCTGTGAAAATGACAAGTGTGGCGGTGAAAAGAGAACGGGGGGAATACCCACCAATTGCAAAGCGCCACATGTCGCAAGGGTAGGCGAAATGGTAAATTCCCATCGACCGAGCTGCACAGTAAAAAGCCCACGAAGGGAAGGCCCATTACTGTTCCTTTCGGCCTAGAAAATAAAAAATAAAATACCACCGTCCGCAGGAGGCGAAGAGCGGCAAAACAATACAAACCAAACAGACAACAAACTTTATTTGCAGGAACAATGTAGGTTTCGGCAGGAGCATCGGTCGAATGGGGGCGCCACATACCATACCACATGGTTTGCACGGTCTTGGCCGAAGCTCCTATCTCACCCTTGCCCGTGAGGGGCTTGTTGGCGGTACGGCATGAGGCCCTTCGACCAAAACTACCGAAACCACACGACCAGTGGGGATTCAAGCCCGAGGCGTCAAGGTTAGTCAGGGCGAAGCCCCTCTCCCAATGGCGAAGGCTATGGAACAAGGACGGCGAGAGGCAGGGAATCGCGCTGGTACCTTGCCAGGCCAGAGGCCTCTTGGGCGAAGGATGCAGGGCGAAGAGTATATGCCGAAGGGAGACAACTTGGCCATAGCAAGTTCACCCCCGCGAGGACCAAAGAAGCTATTCCGGCCCTTCAAGCCTAGGGGCTATTGGGCCGACGTTCGCCTGGCAGCCCATCAGGGGCCCATGAACCTCAATTACATTATCTACCCATGTAAATGTCCTTTTCATAAGGGCAACCATGTAAATTCCCCTGTATAACCAAAACTCTAGTAGTAAGAACCTGTAATGGGGGCTATAAATAGTCCCATAGGGCCTTGTAATAGGGGGATCTCAAGAAAAATTCTCAATTTAATACACCTTACTTCTTTTCCAACTACTGTTGAGTGACCACGTCTTTCGACGTATGTCGTTGTCGTTTCGACAACAGTATTACTAATCGGGACTAAAGATCCTGTGGATCTTTTCGCCCGGTTTGTAACACCAACCGGGACTAAAGTTAGCTTCCTTTATATATGTCTTTTTCCTCCTCCAGCCCGAGCCAAGCTTCAAAATTTCTTCTTGAGGAGGGGAGGTGCTGCCAAAATTTCTTGTGAATTTATTTTGATGATTATATACAAATTGGAGGTGTCTAAAAGGCTAGAACCTTCATCCTCCAAAGTTTTTTTTATCATATTACATTTAGATATTTGCTTTGTATATATTATTGCCTCTAAAACTTTGATGTAAGTTGATTAGGGAGAAAATTTTTGTAGGGAAGGAAGAGTATAGAAATTTTGTTTATTTACAATTTTATAAAAAGTTTTTATAAAAGAGTTGAGAAGGAAAAATATTAAAAAATAATCTAAAGAATAGAAAACAAACAAAATTGAAAATTAAAATAAGTACAACACATTAAAATAAGAACAAACAACCTCCTGTTACCTTGCCCTGATCAGGCCGGACATCACGTTCCCCATTAATTGCGATCGAGGAAGATAGACGGCGATGGCAGCGGCTCCGATCGAGGGGAGAATTGTTTCACGACGTTTATCTCTCCACTTTTTTTTTGACAATTATACCCTTGCACTTTTTTTTGACTATTATACCCTTGCACTTTTTTTAAGAATTACGTTGTACAACACAGATATTTACAACACATGCGCACTCACCCCTATGAATGCACACACACAAATCCTATCCCTATGAGCATCTTTGAAGACTAAGCCGGCAAATCCTTGAGATGCACTCACCCCTATTAACGCACGCACGCAAATTCTCCAATTATACCCTTGCACTTCGGAGGATTGTTTCATGGCGTTTATCTCTCCACTTTTTTTTTGACAATTATACCCTTGCACTTTTTTTTAGAAATACGCAGTACAACCCAGACATACACAACGCACGCGCACTCACCTGTGTGAACGCACGCACGCACGCAAATCCTCCAATTATACCCTTGCACTTCGGAGGATTGTTTCACGGCGTTTATCTCTCCACTTTTTTTTTGACAATTATACCCTTGCACTTTTTTTTAGAATTACGCAGTACAACGCAGACATTCACAACGCGCGCGCACTCACTTCTGTGAACGCACGCATGCAAATCCTATCCCTATGAGCATCTTCGGAGACTAGGCCGGCAAATCCTTGAGAGGCACTCACCCCTATGAACGCACGCATGCACGCAAATCCTATCCCTATGAGCATCTTCGAAGACTGAGCCGGCAAATCCTTGAGATTGACGAAGTAGAAATAGTTCTTAACCTTTCGATCAAATGGGATCAATGGTTCAGATTGCTCTCTACTACTAGTAGAGAGCACTGGAGTAGGTCTCGTTTTTTTAATCTTTCATAATGTGTTCTTCGAGCGGACAATATTTCTATTTTTTTTCTCAGCATTGCTTCTGAGCAATACTTTCAATCGTATCTTGTGTGGGGATGTATATTATAGTACATTTTGAATGTGTTGGTTGTATTTTTTTCTTGTGTTAACAGCACAACTAGATTGCATCTGACTACTACTCAGTTCTAATGTATTCAGATGGCATTTTTTTTTCTTGAATGAGCCCGTCTATGGGGAAGTATATATTTTTCTTGTGACAAAATATTTCTTACATTTTCAATGTAGTGCGTGCACTTTTTTCTTGTGAAAATGTGTATTAATGGTACAATTTGAATGCATGTCTATACAATTATGCAGTTCAAATGTATTTTGAGAGCAATTTTTTCTTGTGTGAGAAAACAATGTATTGCATTTTGAATGCATGTGCATACTACTGTGTATTTTAAATGTATTTGGACCTTTGTAGAGCATATTTTCTTGAGAAAGAAATATGTAATAAGAGCACAATTTGAATGCATTTGTATATTATTACAGTGCAGTCCAAATGTATCTATTGACAACTTTTTGTGACAAGTCGACAAGCACGATCGCGACACCTAAACGCCTTGCGGTGATACGGAGTCGCCAACCACCTCGATCTAGCCGAATGGCCCAATCAAGATGGGTTTTATAGAAAAATAGCTAAACCGGCTAGTGGAGCTGATTTAGAGATCAAAATTAGGCTGTAGGTCGATTTAGATCGATATGAGGATAACTACCCGTCTCGTGGGCAAAACAGAAGGTTCTCAAGACAAACCTACAAAGAGGTGTCGCACTCTCGCAGCGGCGGCGGACGATTTACAGCGCAAATCGACAAAGATAGACTAAAACTTGGGTTAAATAGAAAACATGATAAAGAATGATTCAAGTAGATTGTATTCGGGGGATTACAATGAACCGGCCTTGTCCCTTAAATAGGGGTTGGTCTTGTCCTCTACAGGCCCTTCTCCACATCCAACTCGGGATATAGACCAAAGGAAACACGGAACATAGCCTTCTCGAGCAAGGAAACCCGAGACCTGACAAAAACAGACTCGGATTCGGACCGTGACGGTCTGACCGCCCACATACTTGCGGTCTGACCGGCCCTGTGAAGGAAACCCGACACTTTCCAAACTTTTGCAATTTTCCTCTATTTCATCCATAGGTGCCAAATTTTGGTGTAAACAGTATTATGGAAGTATTTTTTCCTGTAAGAAATATAATGTATTGCATTTTGAATGCATCTTTACTGCATTTTAAGAGTACCTTTTTCTTCCGAAAGAAATATGCAATTAGAATCAATTTGATTGCATGTGTAACTACATTAGAGTTTAAATATGTAATTAAGATGTTTTTCTCGTCAATAATGTGCAAAGAGCATTTTCGTATGCATCTATGTTTTGCTCCGTGGAGAAGGCCATGGCAGAGCCCCGGGGGTTGGGGGGGGGGGAGGGCAGGCATGGGGGATGGGTCGTGGTGGTGGCTGCGGCCGCCGCCACCGACCCACCCGTCCGGAGGGCGTTCCTGTGCCGGAAGAACCGTTATGCCGGCCTCGTCGTCACTGGTCCCGTTCGTGTGCCCGTGCCATCTTCGTGCCACGTCAATGTGTTCGTGTGTTTTTGTGTGTTTGTGCCATGAAGTTCTCGGCGATCAATTCATGTCGTCTGCATGAGCATCATCTATCGATTCAGGTCATCGCCATATCGCAATTGTGTTTCTGTGTGTCTCGGGTGGTTGTTGGTTGTTGCATGGGGATGTCGAGCAATAGCCACCATTGGTCGACACCCTTTGCCGTCATGCCGTCAGCGCCCCGTCTCTATGTGCGTCTTCCGCCACTTGCGAGCACACAAGCGCCGCCTTTTTTAGTTATTCTTTGGATATTATAGGTGCCACTATTGATTGAGAACCGCACCTATAGATCAGTTATTGGTTGAGAACCGGCACCTATAATATCTATAGGTGCCGGTTCTAAAGCCGACATCTATGCTCAGTTAGAAAACCAACACCTATTATCGGTTCCTAACCGATACCTATGGGTTCTCTAGCAGTGTACATAATACATAAATAAATAAATAATAAATAGATAGATATCATACATAAATAAATAATAAATAGATACATATCAAAAATGGCAAAGTGCACAAACTATTTTTAATTCTAACAGTACCAACATCCTAATCCTAAATGAAAATTGCAGAATGGGCTATATAGTTAAATATAAATTCATAGCTAAAATAGCTACTTTGGCCCAAAACAACCCAAGAAGTGCTTGCGAAACGCCTCCTTGAGGCTCTGCCGGGTGCTGCTCTTGCATGGCTCATCGTCATTGTCGACGCTGCATTTGCAGATCATCATCAGGCCATCTAGGTCATCCGGCCCGAGCTCCGTCGACATCGTCGCTGCCGCTGCGGCCTCCTCAACGACGGCGACGTCGCAGTGGATGGTGAACTCGTCGTCGGTGCAGAACCACTGCCTCGCCAGGACGTCGTGGCGGATGAACGTGAAGCAGCGGTACTCCGCCTTCCTGGTGCCGTGGAACGACGTCGCGTAGCACCTCACCTCGTTCGTCGGAGGCACGTACGGCTGCAGATTGACCATGCGGAACCGGACGTTGGTTCGGATGCCGCCAGCGGCGGCGGCGGTGCCGGAGTCGGCGGCGTGGAGCTTGAGGCACACGGTGGAGTAGCCGTTGCCCGAATATTTGCTCGCGTTGAGGTGGAAGAAGAAGCTCCAGGTGTGACCTGCGACGTGGAACTTGGACGACTCGATGTTGTATTTGCTGCTTTGGTGAGATTTCTTGATCGCGTTGCGGACCTTGATCTTGAGAAGGTTGCAACCAGTGGCGGCCGCCGACGTAGAGGTGGCCGTCGACGCGGTGACGACGTCCTTCGTCGGCGACGACGACATGGCAAGCTAACTAGCAGCTACCTGGTGGTGGTGGTGGTGGTGGTGGTGGTGGTCGACGGCGAGATCAATCGGGGACGAAGAACTCGATGCAGGGTTAACGTTGGTTAAATAGATTAGGAGAGGTAATTAACCACACGTTTGACGGACGTACGCGCAGCTATAATCCGTATATAGTTTTGTTCCGATCATGCATATAGCATAGAAGAAAAGCCAGGGTAAATATGTCTCGTTCTCAAAAAGAAATTATAAGTTTGTCCTTATTAACTTCGAATTCGATAAAGCAGCTGTTACTGGGATACATACGGATCAGTTAATATTATGCAACACAAGTTACCACAGCTATTAGGTTAGTTAATTATTAAAAAATATAGGTCAGTTAATTTTAGTTTGGTTCAGATCGGATACAAACAGTTACGTCAAGAGACTGGAAAGTATCAGGTTGTTACGGTAGATACAGGAAAGTATCAGGTTGTTACGGTAGATAGGAATAGTTTTCATCTACATTTAATTTCAAAAATTACTTTCTCATTTACTCTTATATATATTCTAACTCAATTCAATTAAATCTATTATTATTTACAGTAGTCCCTATTTAATTCAACATCGTAAGAGAGTACTAAACACTGATATATAAAAAAAAACATTTTCACAGACAAATCAAAATCTAGTATTCACAGCAATATCTCTTCTACCTAATTCAACACGGTACAATAGTAATACTCACTATTAGAAAACATATGTTGCAAACGGGCAAAATTGATTTTTCCAGGTTGTCATCCACCCTGCCTGCACATAAAGGCTTGTGAAAATGCACGGATTTTACAGGTAGCCATTGGCTCCACCTGCGAAATTGATTTTCGCAGCCGGCCTTTCCATCTTTGCAAGCGGTACAGTCGAAACCGCTAAAAAACGATCAGTTGCATGCCTCCCCTCCCACACGGCGCGGCCACGTGGCACGCACCGGGGGGGGGGGGGGGACGGTGGAACGGCGTGGGAGCGTCACGTGGGGCGCATTTTCTTGGTTCTTTTTCGGTTTTTTTTTCGTTTTTTTGGTTTTTCCCTTGATTTCTTTTGGTTTTTAACATATACGTATATAAATTTTGTATTCATACGAATACAAAGTTTGTATACGTACGAATACAAAGTTTGTATACATGGTGTTTTATGTGTTTTTCTTTGCTTTTCGGTTTATTAAATATGTTTGTATTTATGTATACATAGTTTATATACGACTATGTCGTATATAAATTTAGTATATGTCGTATATAAATTTTGCATATGCACATATATTTTTATACATATAAAATATATTCTTCTTTTTTATAGTAGTAGTATATTAGTAGCAGTAGTGTAGTAGTAAGTCCTACTAGTAGTAGCCTAGTAGGTGACCGAGTAGGCGGCTGGGTGTGCGCCCAGCCGCACATTAGCAGTCCCCCGGTTCAATCACCCGCCTGTGAAAATATACTCCATGAACAAATTAAAGGAAATCCCCCGCCACCTCTCCCACCCCCACCTACTGTTGACCCTCCTTTTATGCCCGCGCCGCTGCCGTCGCCATAGCCTGCTGCCCGGCACCACTCTGCCATCACCTATTGTGGAAGGAGAGGGAAGGGAGGGGAACCAGATCTTGGAGGTAGGAGGGTCGCACCGGCCGCCGCCACCATCGCTCCCCTCCTCTGACCGGATCTAGGAGCAGGAAGGGAGGGAGAGGGGGAGGGGAGCGCCGCCTATGCGCCGCCACTGTCACTCCCTCCAAGACGCCTCCATCGCCGCTTGCGGTGGCCGTCGCTCCCCCTCCTCCGGCCAGATCTAGGAGCTGGGAGGAAGGGAGGAGAGCGTCGTCTCTGGCGCCTCCACGCTGCTACCACCGCTGGCGTCCTTTGCTGCCCTGGTTTGAAGTGGGAGGGAGGGAGGGGAGCCGCCTGCTGAGAAGGGTGGTGGGTGAGGTGAGGGAGAGGGAAGGAAAGCTGGGAGGGGAGAGAACTTGCGGAAATTACTGGGGCTTGGTAGGTGGTGATGTTTACGAGGTATAAGCTTTTCGTAGGTGGAACATATTAAGGTCTTGCCTATGAAAATTGATTTTCACAGGCATGGCCTTAAGAGGTCTACCTGTGAAAATTAAGGATATTTTTGTAGGCGGAGCTCTTTTGACCATGCGATTTAAACAGGCATGACTAGATTTGGTATCTTTAACTATTTTTACAAATGGTGATTTTATTGTTCGTCTGGAAAAATAAATCGTAACCTTGGGAAAAATTGTTTTTCTACTGGTGAGTGATACAGAAAACATTCGCACAGACAGTCGGTAACTCTGATGAACCTTTTGTAAACCGCCTGCTGCCTTGCTCAAGGCAGGTAAAAGTCGGTTATTTATACAGATGGATTCTGTAATTGGCCACGAAAATGCAGGTAAAAGTCGGTTATTTATACTAATGGATAATATATATTTTTACTTCAATTTGCGACAAAAAATATTTCACAGCTTGTATTGGAACACAATTGTCCAAAGTTGTCCCTAGGCAAACCTCGTCTGATAACTCATCCTCCACGATTTGACAATGTTGGCTCGGTGTTACCTTTCTCAACAATTGTCATGATCTTGTAAGTCTTCCACTACTGCAGAAATCATCTTTGGTCGATTGGCCAAATTCTATAATAGTCCCGGTTCCATTAAAAACCGGGACTAAAAAGGATTTTTAGTCCCGGGTTATAAGAGCAACGGGACTATTTGATCTTTAGTCCCGGTTAGTAACAGTCCCAGTTCACATTGTGTCAGGGATTGTCAGGCTCTTCGGATCTTTATCCCGGTTGGTGTTACTAATCGGGACTAAAGATCTTGTGGATCTTTTCACCCGGTTTGTAACACCAACCGGGACTAAAGTTAGCTTCCTTTATATATGTCTTTTTCCTCCTCCAGCCCGAGCCAAGCTTCAAAATTTCTTCTTGAGGAGGGAAGGTGCTGCCAAAAATTTATTGTGAATTTATTTTGATGATTATATACAAATTGGAGGTGTCTAAAAAGGTTAGCAACTTCATCCTCCAAAGTTTTTTTATCATATTACATTTAGATATTTGTTTTGTATATATTACTGCCTCTAAAACTTTGATCGAAGTTGATGAGGGAGAAAATTTGTGTAGGGAGGGAAGAATATAGAAATTTTGTTTATTTACAATTTTATAAAAAGTTTTTATAAAAGAGTTGAGAAGGAAAAAATATTAAAAATTAATCTAAAGAATAGAAAACAAACTAAATTGAAAATTAAAATAAGTACAACACATTAAAATAAGAACAAACAACCTCTCGTTACCTTGCCCCAATCAGGCCGGACATCACGTTCCCCATTAATTGCGATCGAGGAGGAAGCAAGATGGTGATGGCAGCGGCTCCAATCGAGGGGAGGATTGTTTCACGACGTTTATCTCTCCACTCTTTTTTTTGACAATTATACCCTTGTACTTTTTTTGACTATTATATCCTTGCACTTTTTTTTTAAGAATTACGCAGTACAACGCAGATATTTACAAGGCACGCGCGCTCACCCCTATGAACACACGCACGCAAATCCTTTCCCTATCAGCATCTTTGAAAACTGAGCCGGCAAATCCTTGAGATGCACTCACCCCTATAAACGCACGCATGCTAATCCTCCAATTATACCCTTGCACTTCGGAGGATTGTTTCACAGCGTTTATCTCTCCACTTTTTTTTGACAATTATACCCTTTCAATTTTTTTTAGAATTACGCAGTACAACACAGACATTCACAACGCACGTGCACTCACCCCTATGAACACACGCATGCAAATCCTATCCCTATGAGCATCTTCGGAGACTGAGCTGGGAAATCCTGGAGTTGCACTCACCCCTGTAAACGCACGCACACAAATCCTATCCCTATGAGCATCTTCAAAGACTGAGGCAGCAAATCGTTGAGATTGACGAAGTCACGATAGACGCCTCGTTGTCGACGGGTACGTCGCCTACCACTGATATCACAACGCCATTAAATCTTGGAAAATTTGCTCCCACAGAGAGTCGAACCCAGGATCTAAGGTGCTAGCTACAGGTCTTTACGCACCTTTGCACATTTCTACAATTCTACTACTGCTAAATAAGATAGTAGTAGAAATAGTTCTTAACCTTTCGATCAAATGGGATCAATGGTTCAGATTGCTCTCTACTACTGATATGACCATGGCTACTACGGATACAACCATTGTTCACATCATGGATGAACAAGAAGATATCAAAATCAAGTCCTCCAAGTGCTGAAATCCAATTCGGTCACCTGCTATACTGCTGACTTCAAATAGCCGTCAAATCTCCATTCGAGCTCCGTTTTCGGCCCGTGAGTACTTGATGAAAGATCTCGAAGTCCTCTTTCCAACGGATCCAGCCTCATTGTGATAATCCATCTCAATGAGCCGTAATTGAAGAAACAAGGGGCTGCATTGTCTGTAATGGGCCTATGGGCCTATAACTTCCTCTGGGACCCCGGCCCAAGTGGGGCCCAAGGGGGGCTGCGCCCCAAACAGAGGGAGGACGCCCTTCTGACCTCCTCCATCCCTTAAATAGCTAGTAACCTCTCCAGGGTTAGTCGGGTTTTGATAGATTAAAGTTTAGCCATTGCTACTTGCTTGCAGCGCGCGTGTCGGCTAGACCGTCCGTCTGCTTGTTCTTCGGAACCCCAACTTATCATTTGTATTAAATTCCTATGTGCAATATCAGATTGCTTTTATCTTGTTCTTGCTTGTTTCTTCGATTTGCTTGTAGGAATAGGGTTGATCTGCACTGGCAAGATCAAAAACCCACGGAGAGGTGTATCGATCGCTAAGGCGCAACACAACGTCTCGTACGGTTGTAGTCGGATCGTCAATGTTTCTCCCAAATCGTAGTTATCACAACTCACCGAAAGATCGGGCCAATCCTAGCCTTGAGTAGAACTCAGGGTTCATCAGGTGGTATCAGAGCTTTCGTTGCTCGGTGAGTTTTATCTACC